ATTAAATGTTTAAAAGTGAGTTCTGAAGGTCTACCTCCAAAGTACACAGCCTTCATGAGCAAGTCCATATTGGAAACATCATAATATCTTAAATGCCCTGGGTTAAGTTATTGCAATGGGATTTCATGGGTCTTTTTTAATCTTTCATGTGTGCATGTTCGAGAATCTTCAATGACACCTGAGACACATTTTTATCAGTGTTGGACGTTGCTGCTAACTTATTTAGGGAGTTGTTTCCCAGTTCAAAGCTCAAACAGCCTCCTGATGAGAGCAGAAAGCAGAAAAGTCAAATGAGATGTGAAAGGGATGGCTAGGAAGCGGTGAGTGGTGGTGGGGAGATTTTGAGTCACTGCAGATGGTTTAGAACTAATTGCAAGGACTCACCGTGGTACAGACTGGAGATGACGGACAGGGACTGAGCGTCCACTCCAGAGGGTGACCCCATTAGCCCTCCTCGGGGCAGCTCAGCTCCTAGGGCACTCTGCATGACAGCGGAGTGTGGGTCTGCATTTGGGACCGTGCACACCCTCCCTGATCACTGCTTGGTTATTTCAGGTCCCCCTGTCCCAAGTCCCCTCTGGAGTCAACATGCCCGCAGCCCAGCATCTCCACAGATGGTGTGGTGAACATTGGGCTGATCATCCTCAAAGGATCCCAGCTCTGTGTGGGGGTTCCTGCATGGGAATAGCTGTGGTCTATACAGACCCCCCAATCCTCCTTCCTCCTGAGCTTTCTAAATGTCTGGAAAGCAGGCTTCAAATCCAGAAGTCGCCAGTCCTGCCATCTGGCTCTGCATGGGTCTCGGGATGAATTCCTCCACTCCCAACTCCCTGTCCACCCTGCCAAGGAGAAACTCCCCCTCCACACGATCTACTCGGTGGAGATGTGGGGCTGGAGCCTCTCAGGGGCCCTGCATTTCCAATGTTCCCCTGGTTGGCTGCAATTAGCTACTGTGACTAGCACCAGGTCCCCAGGACTGTAGCCATCTGCTAGACACCCCAAGTCCAATCTCTTTAGCTGTATACCCAGGATTATTATTATTGCATCCAATGGTGGTTCTGACCCTGACTCCGGATGGATCTCAGTGGAGGATGTGGGTACCTGTGTGTGTGTGAAGGAAGGGGTGCTCAGGGGACCCTGGATGCCAAGGAGGGGTGTGGAGGCTGCCCTCAAAACCAGAAGCTTCTAGATTGGTGTGGACTCAGGTGGCCAGATCACTGCACCAAGAGTTAAGGGGTCACAGGGACACCCGTGAGAAGGAAGGAGACAGAGAGCAGAGGGGCAGGCTGGGTACCGTGATGGACACAGGAACCTGACATCCGGCTGGCCATGCGTGGAGAGCAGGGCCCTGTCCCAGGAGTTTGGACTCGGAGCAGGGTGTGGGTGCCCTGCAGGAGGGGCCGAGCCTTCCTGGGGGGGGGTGGACAGGTGACCGGATCCCAGACAGACCCCATCACTTCAGAGGGAGGGGAAGAGAGAGAGACAGACAGAGAGAGAGAGAGAGAGAGAGATGCTGACCCCTTTTATTGGGGAAAAGCCATTCAATTGAGGCAAGGGGTCAGGGTTCAGGGGGTTGAGTCTAGCTGGTGATGTCAGCTCTCAGCAGGTTGACTGACATCTGGGGAGGCCACGCCCATCTCATGAGTGTTGAGAGCCACAGCCAAAGGGGCCCCAGCAAACTTCCAGCTGCCAGCAAACTTCCAGCTGCCGGCTGATGATTGGCTCACAGCGGCCCCAGCAACATCTAGCTGATTGGCTCCTCTGCGGTGATGCTCATTGGGCTGTTTCCCCGCCCTTTCAGACCACGGAGCTGCTCATTGGGTGACTTCTTTGGCTCCGCCCACACGACCCAGCCAATCGGCCTCAAGCGCAGGAGGATTGTGGGAGGTGGAGAGGTTGGTGTGGGTGAGAGGCTTGTGGGAAGGTGGTGGTGGCAGTTGGGCTCTGAGGGTTTTTCCTGAGGAGCTGTTTTGTTTGGCGTGTGTGGTTCTAAAAATAAAGTTCGTTTCTTTTGACAAGTGGCTCCTGAATTGTGCCCAGCCAGACTGCGGCACATGAGCTGTGTGGGGATCACAGCAGAGCAAGCAAAAAAGACCAGAATGAGGTCCCCCGCAAAGAGAAGGGCCACATGGGCTCAGTCCACCCTGTGCTGAGCTCAGTGCCCCTAGTTCATGCACCAGCCCAGGGCTGGCTGGCCACATGTCCACACACTCTGGTCACTCAAGGGCTCAGGGGTGCTGGGTTCCTATGTGGCAGCTCCTGACACATTCCCGCTTTCTTAATATAAAAAAAAATGCAACTGGGGAATTATATCTTCCCAGTCCCCTGATTCTTGATCTGAGGTCACCATGGTCTACTACTGAAACACAAAAGGAATTAGTAGAGAACATCTCATTTCAATAGCACAATCAACTTGGAAGATCCAGGTTATTGTTATTATTACTCTGTCAAACACTCATCAGAAGATTCTTCATCTTTCTCCCAGTTTTAGCGGGAAACATTGCGTTTGGCCATAGGAACACAGACATATTTATCCGGCATGGCATTGAGGCCTTTCCACAAACCATAGAGCAGCAGGCTCATTCATAACACTTATTACAGTGGCTTCTAGAGCATTTTAACTGAGATCCCATCTTTTCTTCCATCAGCCCTTCTCTGGCTACAAAGGATCTTGGAAGTAATGTAAGTCAAATATCAGAAAGTGCAGGTTTTAAGTTTTAAAACCTAGCCACAAAGGCTGTATTGTAGAAGCAAGGAATCATATTTCAGGTAGTGACTCCAAGGATCCTGAGATCAGGAGCTGGCCTAGGTTTGGTTAATTGGCATGCACCTGTTTCAAAGCCTGAACATGAACTTCAGCATATTATAGCTCTGAAATATTAATTGGCAATAACTAGTGATATAATAAGATGCGCTGTATTCTTACAGCCTACAAGATATTCATCATCTCTTCCTTCTCACATTAAGGAGTCTATTAGGCCTGTCAGGAGTGTAAACATCCTGAAGGCAGAAGTCAAAGATCAAAACATCCTTTTGGGTGCCATCTCGCTGAGGGTTAAGGTATTTCCAATAAAAACCCCCAGGTTTCATGGCATCCTGGCATAACCATCTTTATCAATTCTGGGAGACCAGCCTAAAATAGACGCATTATTTCTAGACACTTTAAGTTGCACGGGCAAGACATTTGCACAATTTATCCACTTAGGAAAAGTGCCAATAAACTTAAACAATTTAATAGGTCTTTTTTTCATATCAAAATATGAACAAAAATTTTAGCTCACATCAGCATAGTGAAATCAGGGAAAAAGTGATTTTAATTAAATTAATCAGTTAAAATTTTTATCGTCAGTCCAGTACATTAAAAAATGTCATTTGTAACTGTTTTTAACTTTCTATATCTGTGTAGATAATGATAGAAAGATTTTCTTATTTAGGAAAATTTTTTATCATTAAAATCTAGAATATAAAGATCTTGTTTTACTCAAAGATATTTCTTTCTTCTTCTGAGGACCTCCAATGTACTTCCTCCCTGTCGAAGCATCTTTTAGAATTTTTCCTGGTTGACCTTTGGAACAATTTCTAAAAACCTTAGAGTGTAAACAAATTATTGTACCTTGATAAGAAGAAGTATCTCAATGAAAATATAGTTAAAATCCTTGGATATTTCTGTAGACAGAATTACAGTTGTTTATCATCTTATAAACTTTGTACAATAATTTGAGAGTTAGAGATCACTCAATGGTTGTTTTATCTCTTGAAAGCAAATTTATAGTGAAATCTATCTTAAATATCTGTAAGTAAAAGGCAGAGCATCAGATAAATGCATGTATAAGAAATATATAAATTATGTGTTTTCTGTTGAAGAAAAAAAATTAGATAAATTTGTATTAATTTAACATATAGACATGTTCATTATTTTATGGATTAACAATTACAGGTTATTTAAACATCTAGAAAAAAATATATATTAATAATAAGGGTGGGGCTGTGCCTCAGTGGTACCGTGCTCACCTAGCATGTGTGAGGCACTGGGTTCGATTCTCAGCACCATATAAATAAATAAAGAAAGAAAATAAAATAAAGATATTGTGTCCACCTAAAACTAAAAAAAAAATTAAAAAAATTAAAAATAAATATTAAAAAGAATCAAGCTTTAAAAAATAAAGAAATAAAAAATAAAGATTATTGTGTCCATCTAAAACTAAAAAAAAAAAAAATTAAAAAGAATAAGGGCATAGGGCTGGGGATATAGCTCAGTTGGTAGAGTGCCTGCCTCATATGCATAAGGTCCTGGGTTCAATCCCCAGCACCACCAAAAATAATAATAATGAATGCATAACTTATAATCATATTAATTTTATGTGACCACGTCGTTCTTCACATATTTGGATCCATTTCAATTTATTTTTAACTAGGAGTGCATGCTTATATGGGACATAGCAGGATGTACAGCTGAAATATGATCTTTGTATACATTTACTCATTTCTTGCAATTATATAGTCAGGAATTAGAATAAGGGTTTCTTGATTTTCATAGGCACATTATCTGGCTTTTGTTCCTGCGATGTAAATGCCTCCCTATAACCTTCAGAACTAAAAGCAAAATAGAAAGCATATGCATTTCTTATACTTGTCATATTACTCTGCAATGTGTCTTCATAATACAGCTATAAAGAAAAAATTAGGTTATTTGGCTTTGAAAATAAGTGAGGCTCAGGGCTGCAACTTAGAGACCTGTGGAATCAGACTTTGCCTGAAAAAGATATTTCCTTAGCATTTATAGGTGGGCACCCTTAACACTGCAGGCTCCGTGTAGTCTCAGAGGCAGGTCTGGGTGAAACAGGAAGTGCAGGTTAGTGGCTGGAAAGCGGGACCGGAAGTTCTGTCTGAGTGACAGAGGAAAGACCAATGGGAAGCCCGGGAACATACGGGAGGCGGGACCAGGAAGCCAGTCAACAGGCCAGGCTTGGGGCGTTACCATGGTGACCCTAGCTGGTTGCATTCCATTGTCTGAATTTCCCAGAGGCGGCAGGACCCTCTGGTGGGCGGTGGCTGCCTTGTCTCTGTGACCTGCGCTTGTAGCCTGTGTTCTCCTGTCTTTGTACCTTCCCTTGCAGCACGTGGGACTTTAAAAGTGAGTTTTCACAGCAGACGCCAGTGTCCCTACCAGATCCTGAGGCAGTCTGCCCTTGGCACCCAGGCCAGGTGCTTGAAGGGTTAAAGCACTGCTGGCTGGGGGTCTAGTACTGACCCCATAGGGAGCAGCAGCTGAATTGTCCCCAGCAGCTGAGTCACAGCCACTGTGATCCATAGGACAGGAATGTAGCAAAGAGGTTCAGGATAAACCCTGTGAGTCTTCACAAAAACAAGAGGAAATAAAATTCACTCCTCTAACAGGTAAAGAATCCTTGCATCAAGTCTCAACACAAGTTTTCCCCCCCTTTTCTCCCTCTCCAAGGGCAGACTCTAGTACATAGACCCCCCAAAACCTTTTCCTAATATTATTTCAAAATATAAAGATTCACAAAAACAATCAAGAGAGTCCACAGAAGCGCTTTTCCCATGGGAGAGGACTGATCTTAACATGTCCCATTAGCCATCTTAATAATTCTTTGCATTTATTTAGGGTCTCTAGAATTGTAAAAATGATTTTTTTCTTTCTACAGACAAAATACTCCCAAATATTAAAAATTTAATGTCAGTTTTTTTCTGCCTAATTCACTTATTTTCTACCTACTTCACTTACTTTCTGCAATTCAGCCCACAATACTCTGCAATTCGAAGCATGATGAACTTCTAGAGAGAAATTCCAACTACACTACATTGCTACAAATCACCCTGGAATGCCATTAGAGGCCACCAATTGTCAGTCTCATGACAAAACACTCAGGGTCACTCCAGGTGAACTGAGCTGCACAAAATAACCACACAGAGACAGAGAAATGACTTTTTCTTTGGATCCTGTGATGGCTCCTCTGACCTAAGGGGTTTGTGAAAGGAGGGGAGGGGGTGGAGGGAAGGAGGGAGGAGGGAGAGGAAGAGAGGGAGAAAGTACATGCTGAGCCTTTTTATTGGAAAAGCCATTCAAATGAGGCAAGGGGTCAGGGGTCAGGGGGTTGGGTCTAGCTGGTGATGTCAGCTGTCAGCAGGTTGACTGACATCTGGGGAGGCCACGCCCATCTCATGAGCTGTGTGGGGACCATGGCAGAGCAAGCAAAAAGACCAGAGTGAGGCTCCCTACAGAGAAGGGCCACATGGGCTCAGTCCACCCTGTGTGCTCAGTGCCCTTGGTTCTCACACACAGCCCAGGGCTGGCTGGCCACATGTCCACACTCTGGTCACTCAAGGCTCAGGGGCTCTGGGTTCCTATGTGGCAGCTCCTGACACCCCTCCCCTCAAAAGGTGAAGCGCTGGTCTCAGTGAGTCTCCATTATTTCTGCGCGTCTATGTTAGAATTCCCTGGGGTGACGTGTCCTGCTGTGGCCCACGGCCCCATGGCCCTGTGGGTGGCACAGGACCTCAGCATGTAGGTACTGATCTGCAGTATCCAGATGAAATGGTTGGGAATGGCATTCCTGGGAACTGTGCAGACAGTGAGAGGATGGACTAGGAGACTCAGGCTCCCGATGGCGCAGGGGCAGTGGGGCAGGAAACGGGGGTCTGGACACCAAGACCCTGAAGCAACACTTGATTAGTGGTTGCACAGCCCAGAAGGATGTTCCCAGAGTCTGAGCCACGAGCAATGCACGGATTTCACTTTTATACATAAGCTTATTTTGGGTACATCAAGGCAATGAAGTTGGTGCCTTCTATTGAGGGCAGAGTGTCCACTCCTTTCTGGTGCAAGCTTGGTCACAGCCTTGGGACTCTCAGTTCAAGCAGCTTAGGGTCTTTGACTGCGCTGAGCTTGGAAGGACTGTCCCCATTGCTTGGTCTCCTGCCTCTGCTGCTGTGGTTTTCTTCTGCAGGTGCCTGTTAGCCACTGCAAGTCTCTGTGGGTGAACAGTAATAAGCAGAGCTGCTGGACTCCAAAACCTCCATGCCAAAGTGGCAGGAACATAGACCAGGTGCTCAGACCTTGAATTCCAAACCAACTCAGGAATCCAGCAGATGCCACTGAGATCCAAAGGGAGACCAGAGACTGGGAGAATCTGGCATGGAGAGTGTCTGTCTGGCTCCCAGGCCATGTGGCCTGCTGTCATTACAGATCAGAGAGGCCAAAGAGTCCATGCCCACCCCCCCCCCAGCCCACTGAATGGCAGGGACAGGGGCTGGGAGAAGACCAAGGGGCGGAGACAGGCTGAGCTCAGGGTGGGAATGAGCTTTGCTGGGGGTGGTTCAGGCGTGAGAGGCCACAGCTTCCCAGCTCCCCTCCCCTCCATGAGCCTATAGCAAGACCTTCTCAGGGGGCCTCTCCCCCCCCACCCCCCCAACTCCACTGAATCAGTGAGGCCAGATTCACAGATAGGTAGTTAGTTAGGTAAATCGAGCCTAATATCGAGTAAGATACAGAAAACTCTTTCATTTTGACCTCGATTTTTTTCGCTCCTCCTCCCTCATAACCATCACATCCTACATCCCTCCTGTGATATCGTGATTACCACGTCAAATTGTGAACTCTTACGTGAACTTACTCTTAGCACGGGGGACAAGAGCTGATCCTATGGTTTCTCAGGATTTAACAACCAGCAGTGCAGATTTCACTGCAAGAGATATTTGGTTTCATACTGTAAATTGTTTGCATTGGTTTTTGTTAGTGTCTGTCTCCCCCTAAACTCTGAGATAAAAGTAACCTTCAGGGATACTATAAACCCACAAGGTTAAAACCCTGCTACCTCAAAAGCAACTGTTAGACCGGTAGGCATACAAACAACATGAAGGTATTTTGTTTCAACCTTCAGCAAAAAGCAAGGAAACAAAATACCTTAATGTACATAGTTAAGAAAGACGTGTTTCACTAGGTGTTGTAATGCAATGCGTGCCTGTCATCCCAGTGGTTTGGGAGGCTGGGGCAGGAGGATCCCAAGTTCAAGGCCAGCCTCCGCAACTTAGGGAGGCTCTAAGCAACTCAGTGAGACCCTGTCTCTAAACAAAATGCAAAATAGGGCTGGGGATGGGGCTCAGTAGTCGAGTGTCCCTGAGTTCAATTCCTAGTACCAAAAAAAAATAAATAAAATAAAATATTAAAAGAGGTTGGGGTGTGGCTCAGTGGTTAAGCATCCCTGGGTTTAATCTGTGGTTTAAAAAAAATAAAAAGTCATTTCAACAGAGGCCCTCATAATAATATGGGAAAAAA